GTTGTGTTGTTGTTGTTGTTGTTGTTGTTGTTGTTGTTGTTACGATCCTGGCCAATTTTCAAGTATACATTCATCAGAAAGTACAATGTCGTCCAATTGCAACAAGAAATGAATGAACTTGAGAGGAGAGAGAGGGAAAGACGAAGAAGGAGTAAGAAAGAAGAAGAAGATGATGTACTCCAGCATAGACCAATGACAAGGCTCTTCTTCTTCGCCAACCAATCTCCTCTTCCTTATCTCCTCCCCTCTTATTCAAACAAGAAATTACAATAATAATGTTGAATGGCTGAACCAGAATCAATGTCCGAATCCCACTTCTACTGCAGGCACAACATGAGGTCCACCATAGCCATGGTCACCCTTCCTTTTCCTCTACATGCAGGCCGAGGCTATGGCGGAGCACTGAGGGCTCTACCCTCCTATCGAAAGGACAACCCAAAGCAGCTATGTCACTGCCCTTTTGTCCCAAGGTCAACACCAGACAGCTATGCCGCTGCCCATTCAACCGCCATGCCTGATTCTGTCCCGAGCTTCCTTGCTGCGGCACTACCCCAACCGGGGCCTTCCAGATGCAGCGCCTAACAAGGTGATGAAGATGGTGTCCGCCATAGCCAGGTAAGTACCTCGCCACTCTCCTCCTTGGTACCCTTCTCCCTCCTCCTCCTACTGGTAGAGCTCCACCATAGCCAAGGTGGAAGCTCTCGGCTTCTTCCTCCCAGCAGCGCTGTAGGACCCAGCGCTACTCCAGCCAGCGCTCCAGCAGCGTGTCGCCAAACTTGCACACTGAAGAATGAGGCCGAGCTCTTCCCTAGGGCTCTTGATATAGCGGCCTGCTTGCCTCCTGGGTGGTGACTTCCAGACCGCTCGGCCTCCCAAGCAACCGGTACCTCCTCCCTTTCGGAGGGAAACATCATTGCAGACTCTGATATTGGTTGTGGTTGTTGTTGTTGTGGTTGTTGTGGTTGTGGTTGTGGTGGTTGTGGTTGTGGTGGTTGTTGTTGTTGTGGTTGTTGTCGTGGTTGTTGTTCTGGTTGTGGTTGTGGTTGTGGTTGTTGGTTGTTGTTGGTTGTTGGTTGTTGTTGTTGTTGTTGTTGTTAGTTGTTGTGGTTGTTGTTGGTTGTTGTGGTTGTTGTGGTTGTTGTGGTTGTTGTTGGTTGTTGTGGTTGTTGTTGGTTGTTGTTGGTTGTTGGTTGTTGGTTGTTGGTCGTTGCTGTTGTTGGTTGTTGGTTATTGTTGTCGTTGTCGTTGTTGTTGTTGTTGTTGTTGTTGTTGTTGTTGTTGTTGTTGTTGTTGTTGTTGTTGTTGTTGTTGTTGTTGTTGTTGATTGTTGTTGCAGCTGCATGAGTTGCAGGTGTTGCTATTTTTTTTGCTCTTCCTCTCGCTGCAGCCACTGCTGTTGTTGCGTCTGTTGTTGCTGTAACCGTTGCGCCTTCTGGTGTTGCAGCTACATTTATTGTCGTTTCTGTTGCTATTGCTGTGCCTGCAACTGTTGTTGTGATCGAATCCGGTGTTGCTCCTGAAGCTGCTGCTGTCATAGCTCTTGGACTTGATGCTGCTGCTGCCTTTGTTGTATTTCCTCCTGTACCTGTAGCTGCAGTTGTTGTCGCTGTTGTAGTTGGAGCTGCCACTGTGGTTCTTGCTCTTGCTGATGCTTTAGGAGCAGATGATGTTGTTGCTGCTCTCCTGCATCTGTTGCTGTTGCAGCCGCAGTTGTTGCAGGATTTGTTGTTCTTCTAGCTCATGCAGTTCATGCTTTTCGAGCTGTAGCGGTTGCTGGATCTTGTCAATAGATTGCAGATGCCTGTGCTTCATCCCTCCTGCCTCCCGTTCTGGTGAAGGGGAGGGGGATTGTTGTGCCATCACCCTGGTTGAGGTGGTTTATCATGCTGCTCTCTCCACCCTCGTTGCTTCGGCTGTGGGTCATGAGATTGCATCAGTCCTTGCAGGCGCCCTCTCGAGATTCTGCTTTTTAAATATCTGCTCCTCCCCTTTCTTTGTTGTCCCTTGCACCTGTCTGGGTAGGCCTGGTGAGAAAGCTGCTACCAGAGCTTTCCTGTGCTCCTGCTTCTTCTCATGCCAGGTCTGCTCCTCCGTTTCCCCTCGCTGCAGGTACCAGTGCAGCTGTGGCCCTCCTGCCTGGTCTCGGTGATGCTGGTGGCTAGTCTTCTTCTCTGGTATCAGCTGTTTTGGGATGTCAAGGACGGGCTGTGACGTACCGTGTTGTACTCCTAGTGCCTGTGCTGGCCGGTCTGCCAGGGCCTGGGGCATCGCTATTTGAGCTTTCAGGTGAATCACTGATTCTGATGTGTCAGGAGTGGGCTCCGGCGTCCCATTCTGTACGTCCCCTAGTGTGTGTCCTGTCTGTCCTGTCTGTTGATTCGCTGTGGCCAATGGTAGATGTATCTGTTCCCGCCGCTGAAGTATTTGGGGCGGGGTAGTTGGAGGTGATTTGGGCTGTCCATGAGGGCCGACTCCCATCTCCCCTTCCATTGTGCCATGCTGTATTTCTCCTTCTCGGGCCACCTGTGCAGGTTGTTTTTTCAGGGTGAGATCCCAGTGTCGGGAGAGAGCAGGGTCTTTTACCTTGTTTAGCAAAGAGTTGGGTTTACCCCATACTCCCACTGGCTCGATCACTGTGAGGTAAAATTTGTTTCCAATTTTATGGGCCTCCAGTGCCCCTGCAACCAGACTCGTCTTCTTCCTCATGCAGCATGCATGGAAACAAATGGCAATCGCACCGGCGCCAGGCGCCCACACAAAGCTCAGAGATATCGAGGCCAAGAACACTGTTCACATTCAAACTTGCTTCGAATGGCTACGGCGCCTGTGCGCCCTGACAACTCCTTCCGACACTATCCCCAGCAACCGTTCCCACACACGCTACTCTGGATCTCCCTGGATGTCCCACACACGCACACACTACACAGAACACTCGCACACATACACGCTATAGCCTATCTCTAACCTATGGCAGCTATGGCTGCCTTCTTCCTCTCCCTACTAACTAGCGGCTATGACCGCTTTGTATCCCTCACAGCCCACTTCTCCCTCGGGCACCTGCAGACCTCCTTGCACAAGTCGCTCAGGCAGCGCTTCCTCACGGCTCACAGTCCGAATGAATGAATGACTCTACACTGCCTCTTGATTTATACTTCGGTTGGTCGCTGGTCTGCTCCTTTCCACAGGGCCCAGGGTGCACACAGTCCCACATGGTACTTGCTGACTGGACAAAGTGCGACTGGGACTGAGTACCGTTGACTAGACAAGGTTGGACTGCCCACTTGCCCACTTGCCTCTAGCCTAACCTGAGTTATTCTCGAAAGACCACTTCCGGACCTTCCGGAAGTCTGTAGACTTGGCCTTTCGGGACTGTAGCAGCTACGACCTTGACCTTTCAGGACTGTAGCAGCTACGACTTCTTCACAGCTACGACCCCTACTTGACAGACCTACGGTTCAAGACCCGACGGCCATACTAACATGCAACAGACAACAGACGCCTGCCAACACACAGGTCACGGGTTCAAACACACAAGAGTCGACTCAGTACTGCACACGGGTGAGGCCAAGGTCTGGGGATCGAGCCCTGGGATCTGCGTCTGCTACTGCAAAGTGAAAACCGTTTCACTCCTGCTGGCCTAAATTCGAGGTCATCCGAGAATATATTAATCTACAGCAGGATCTTTACCTTTCTTAGCTCTTTCATAGGCACGGATTACATCGGGAGCAGTCTCTAGAAGCTCTGTTCGGGTAAACCAGCAGTCGTCTTTCGGTTCTTGATAAGAAAATCTGACTTTGTACTGTTTCTGTGGACGACCTCTACCTCCTGTTCTGAATACATCCTCACCTACTATGCGGTCAATGTCGTACCTTCCGTCCATATCCGGAGGGATCATGGACCTCCTCGATGGGAACTGCTGACTTGTAGTACAAGGCAACAACTTTGACGCATGAAAAATTGGGTAGGTGTGGAGGTGTGCTGGAATCTCTATCGTGTAGGACGGTCCATCCTCTCCGCCCTTGACTTCTAGGACTGGCCATGGTCCTCTATATGCAGGTAACAGTGTCTGTGAGATGTTCTCCTCCGGAGCGAACCCTTTGGACTTGACCCAGACTAAGTCGCCTTCTTGGAACTATGATGGATGACGATGTTTATTAGCTTGTTCTGTCATCCTATGTTGGGTGTTCCTAAGCTTCTCTACCACTTTAGCAATCTCTTTCTCATGATGTAGCGCAAACTCCCTAGTTTCGGGCGGTAGCCTCTGAATCTGATCCCGGTTTAGCCCTTCAAATGGTCTGCATGGTTTAAAGGAGTTGTGCAGCTCATTGGGAGTGCGGCACGTGGCTAGATGAACGTTGTTATTGTATGAGCTAGCTACCTCTGGGAGCATCTCGTCCCAGTTGATTTGATCGGGTCTAATATACATTATGAGAACTTGCTGCAGGATCTTGTTCATCTGTTCAATTTGACTGTTAGTCTCTGGGTGACGGCCAGATGACATTAGCAACTTAGAGCCGTAGACTCTCATCAGCTCCTGCCAGTTCTGATTAGTGAACCTAGTATCTCTATCACTAACTATAGACAGCGGCAGACCATTCTCATTGACCCAATGATCAAAGAACTTCTCTATTACTAAATTTGTACGTTCCTTTGAAGGCAAAGGAACGGAAACTGCATATTTGCTAAACCTGTCAACTATAACCAGGACTTGGTTCTTGTCATGCCTACTCTTGACCCCAGCGTCCTGTAGGATAGGCAAGGGTCTGAGAAGACCCTGAGGGGCTTGCATAGTGGTCTTGTTTCGCTGGCACACCTCACAACTGCGTACGTACTTTATGCACTCAGTCTTCATGTCGGGCCATGTATACGCGCTAATGAGATTGGCTAATGTCTTTTGCCAACCAAAGTGTCCCTCTGTGTCGTGGCATTCCCCTAAGATCAGACTACGAATCTCCTCGCTGTTGGGAATGCATATCGGTCAGCTACGTTAGTCTTCTCAAATAACAACCCATCTGTAGTGTGGTAATCTGGTTCAGACTCCAAGGCCTCGTTAACTCTCTTGAGGAGGCCACTATAAATAGGGTCTTGCGCATACACCTCCTTGACCGTCTGTTGCAGATCTCTCCCTATGTCCAGATGGTGTACTATCGCTCCAAAGTAATTTGCTCTCCTACTCAACGCGTCCGCAACTACATTGTACTTTCCTTTAACAGGCTTGAGCTCAAAGTCAAACTAGTCTATCTCTGCGGCCCACCTAGTAAGCTTAGGTATCTTCGCGTGCGTCTTCAGCCACCTCAATGTCTCGTGGTCTGAATAGACTTTGAAGTGCCTCCCAAGCAAGTAATGTTTCCAGTGGTCTAGTGTTTGCCTGAGAGCGTAGAGTTCCCTCTCATAGGTTGATGTTGCTACCTTCTCTGAAGGCATCCTAGCAGACATGAACTCTACGGGTCTATACCTATTGCCATCATCTTGCTGTAGGACAACACCTATACCGTACTGACTTGCATCAGTGGTGACAACAAAGGGCAAAGACGGATCGGCTACCTTGAGGGTTGGGTACTCTATCAAGGCGCGCTTTAATTTCTTCAGGGTCGATGTACAGTCTTAGTCCCACTTCCAGATCACTTCTTTCTTTAGCAATCTGCGACGGGGAGCAGCGATGGCGGAGAAGTTCCTTCCAAACTTCCTATAGTAATTTGCCAATCCTAAGAACGACCACAACTCTGTCAATAAACGGGAAGTTGGCCTGTCTCTGATCGCTGCTATTTTGTTGTCCTTGGACTTTATGCCATCTCCATCTAACACGTGGCCCAAGTATAACACCTGTGTCTTGGCCCACTCACACTTCTTTGCGTTGATCTTGAAGTTAACTTCTCTTAGCTTCTCCAATACCTGTCTCAGAGGAGCCTCGTGCTCCCGAAGGGTCTTGCTAAACACTAGAATGTCATCTAAATATACAATCACAAATCTATCTAACCATGGCCTAAACAAATCATTCATACAGCGCTGAAACGTGGTTGGCGAGTTGGTTAGTCCAAAGGGCATCACTATGAACTCATGGTGCGCATATCTAGTCCACGTCGTCTTGTACTGGTCATCAGGATGAACTTTTATCTGATGATATTTGACTTCAGATCTATCTTGGAGAAATACTTGCAACCCTGCACACAGTCCAACAAGTCATCTATGCGGGGCAGCGGTTCTGCATTCTTCACAGTGACTGCGTTAAGACCCCTATAGTCAATGCAATTTTTAACTCTCCCTCTTTCTTGGGGACGAACAAGACAGGTGCTCCAAACGGAGACGAACTGGTCCTAATCCAACCCTTTTCGAGGAGCTCGTCTAACTGCTTGCGCAACTCCTCCAACTCCCTTTGGGACATTCTATACACAACTCCCTTAGGAGTCCTACTGTCAGGCTCTATCTCAATGCGATGCTAGATTGGCCGCTACTCTATTAGGCGGCTCAGACAAATCTGCATATTCTTCTAGCATTTTGGCAATGCGAGGGTCGATCGGCTCTTCCTCTTTAGGCTCAGTGACTAGCATAACATAGGCTACAAAAACTTGTTCTTCTAGCAACTCCTTCACTAACCTTGTGAATGCATGAGCGTTGAGGCAGCAATGTGCTAAGGGGTTGTCTACCCCTGACACATGAAACAGGCGCGCAGCCTTGACTTCACCTGATGGGCTAGGGAGCCTACACTCTTGCTCTCTCAAATGGAGTGTGGCTCCTGTTGCCTCTCCCCAATCCAGTCCTAAGACCATACCGAACAGGAGATTGTCCTCTACGAGGAGAGTCAGGGAATGGAGGACTCTCTCTACCTTCTCATCTTTCTCTAGGCGAAAATATGTCTGGACTCCCACGACGTAATCCTCTACTCAAATAGTGTGATTATCTGTGAGGATACTGACTATGAGTTCTTCTAGGTTTTGGACTTTCAAACTTAGCTTCAAGTTCTGCAGCGCTTTGCGGCTAATATAGCTATGGGTGGCCCCACTGTCTATGAGGACCCCTACCCTGCCTCTAAAGACCTCTACATCTATTAACAATAGTTGTCCTTTCCATCTTTCTTCACCTTGACCCAGGCTGGCATCCTCTCCTTCAACTCTTCTGCTAGACATGTGAGGGAAGTGCCTAAAGAGACTTTAACACAAGCAGTCTCTGGACAACTACCTAGGCACTGGCCAGCAACCTCTGCCATAGACACATGTGGTTTGGGAGTTTCTCTATGGTGCACACACTCTTATCCACATGGTCTAGGGGTAAGGGCAGTTGCGACCCCTACCGGCGATTGCCTTTTGCTCCCTCTGCAACAGCTCGCCAGGCATCTCTGTATTTGGGCCAGTATTTAATAATGTGCCCTGGATCACTGCAGTAAATGCATTGATCCGTGTCTATTCTTCTCTGCCACACGGTCTGGTCTAAGCCCAGCGCTTCCCAGGGTCTGCCTTGCGGCAATCCAAGGTGCCATTCACCCCTCCGGGGAGGTGATCGATTGGAACGAGGACGGTTTTGTGGGGGACCTTGACCCCTACCTCCCTCTTGTCAGTTTCCTCTGCTGCCAACCCCCTGGTCGCCTTGTCCTCGACCACCAGAGGCCCGACCCCCTTGGCCCTGGCCTCTCCCTCTTCCCTACGGCCTCCTTTCGGCCGCGACAGCAGCATAAGTCCTCCCATGACTAGTGTTACTCTTCCTCTTCTAGGCCCCACTCAATCAGACTATAGGGGATCTCTTCTATACCACCTTCATCTAAAGTAAGGATCAGGTGATGCATGGCCCTGACTTGGCTTGAGATGGTACAACCCTTCCATTTCTGCCCCTTGTCCAGATCTTTGTGCCAGAAAGTGGATGTTGGCATGGACTGGGCTTCAAAAGCCACCACCTCCCTACTTAATGTATCGTAGGTCATGGTAGGTTGTCTACTATTCTAAAAAAAGTGCCCGTGCAAAGCGTCCCAGTTACCCCATGTCCAGGGACGGGAACTAACTCATCCATGACACCCTTAAGTGCCATGGCACTCCTCCACTGGCAGGAGTGGATAGTTTGCAGCTTGTCAAAGGCCCTAAGCCCCCGAGTGACATCTGCAAATCGCTCGCGAAGGAGTTTAAGAAATTCGCTCAGTGGTGTAATCATAGAATAAGCCACCATGTCATTTTCACATTCGGTAGCGCGGGCAAGCGATCGAGCGAAGCTAGATGCTTCATCTCTAAGAGCGTGGAAAGCGATGAGGACTTGCTCCTTAGGGATAATGTCCTGAAGGTGCATGTAGGAGTTAATATTTGCCTCCCAATTATCGAAAATTTCACCCTGTGTCCCACTGTAGGAATCAGGGAACTTCACTTTTACTCGATCCCTACATGGATGGGCTTCCTCCTCCTTTGGGGCAGCAAGCTTTGCGCCTTCTATGGCGCCTGTGCACAATCGCTCGGTATTCTCTAACCTTGCCTTCATCTCAATGCCCACATGCATCATCATATCACACGCAAACTCTCTGAAGCCCAAGCGTATGGACTGTAAGGCGATATCATGGCCCCTCGTAAACTGAAATTGTTCTTGCTGGGCCTTTGCCAAGACTTCTATCTTTCCCTGAAGATATGTCTGGCCTTCCATCTGTCTCCCTTGCTCATCCACTGCCCTCAATTCTTTTTCAAGTTCATGTGCCGCCTAAGCCCGCCTCCAGCCGTCTCCTTTTCTCTCTCGTGAGGCGCAGTTTCCACTCCAACCTTTTCTCTTCATCCATCGTCTGGCGGCGTAAGGGATTTTCCTCCGCTTGCAGCTCCCTCATCACCGACGGATTCACCGCCTCCTGTTTTGCCCTGGGGACATGCAACATCGCTTCTTCTTCCTCTCCCAGGGACAGATTAGCAACCCATTCTGACACCACCTTCTTAAGCCTTTTCTCTTCTTCCTTCGTGCCACTAGATTCCCCTGTTTCCCTCCTTTTCACATTCCTTTCGAGGGGGATTTCTTCCTCTTCTTCTTCTTCCTCTACTGCCTTCAGCTTCTCTTCTTCTTCCTTCCTCAATATTTCCATCTCCTCCTCTAACTTCTTCTTCTTCACCGCCTGCTCCTCCAATAAGGCCAACTTCTTGGCCTGCATAATCAACTCCTTCTTCGCCTCTTTTTCTTTTCTCTCTTTCAGCAGGGCGGCGACTTGCTCTTCTTGAGCCTTACTATACGGGGTGGTGCTCGTACGGGTTCGCGTGGTCACCATGGTGAAAGGTGCACAACCAAATGACAGTTCCACTCCTCACCACTTAGACTTCCACCCACTGACTGACTGACTAACTCTCTAAGGACCACAGAGCCCTCCCCTTTGTTCCAGCCAGGTTACCACAACCGACAGAAGCTTTCGCCACCACTGTCTGTTACAATCCTCGACCCAAATGCCCTGCACCTGCAGTCAACCCACCTGGCTTTCACTCCGGTTCAGTGCCCTGTCAACTAGGGTCTCTAGCCTAGACCTATGGCTATGGCTGTCACCACAGGACTTCACTGCTGATCAAGAGGCATTTAAGGAGATCCCCCATAACTCATCAGGAATTCTTTAACGTTGCAGACAGGATGACGCGATCAGCAAGTCCTCTCAAGACTTAGACAGTTGGTTGTGCAGCCCACAGCTCGGATTTTGGGCCAACCATGCCACACTAAGCAGCCCGGCGGTCTGTATTGGTCCTTGGGAGGGTTAGTCCTCCGGGACGTGTCAGTCGTCAGCCATGGACAGCAGCCCTACTCAGCCCGTGTGGGTTCGGTCAACGCAGCAATATGACCACATACACGGAGTTCCTATCACCTGGACCGAAGAGACTCAATACAGAAAGAAGAGACACACTGACTTAGCAGGTACCATGGGGTGAGTGCACATCCATAGGGCGAGGGGATAGGTCGAAGGCTTGGCGAGATTATACCAACTCCAGCTTGGTCAGATCTCAGTCAACGGCCTTGGTCAATGCCGGTCAAAACCTTGGTCAACGGCGGTCAACGTCTTGCTCAACGTCTTGGTCAACGCCTTGGTCAACGTCTCGGTCAACTTCTTCAAGTTCGGCTATGGCTGCCGACCCCTTCTCCTTCACCAACCTTCACCTTTCTCCTTCTCTCTCCCCTCCTTTCTGTCTTCTCCTTCACCCCGGACTATGGCTTCTCTCTCCTCCCTCGTCTCTCCTTCCCCCTTCACTTTCTTTCTTCCTCCTCGGTCTTTCTTCTCACTTTTGGTCCCGTCGTCTTTCTCTCTGTGTCCGAGCTCGGCAGCTATGGCCGCCACTTTCCTCCCGTCACTTTCCTCCTTGAACCGCAACAACCAATCTTGTATTGCCTCTCTCTCTCTCTCTCTCTCTCTCTCTCTCTCTCTCTCTCTCTCTCTCTCTCTCTCTCTCTCTCTCTCTCTCTCTCTCTCTCTCT